CAGCTATCTCCTCTGTCGACTGTTGCTAAATACCCGTGAAGTCTCGCCGCAGGGTCTTCCAACCAATATAAGCGTATTGCCATGTGAGGATGACTTGTAGGATGGTCATGCTAGGACTGTAGCAGAGGTTCTGGATCTTCTTCCGCAAAAAGTTCGTACAGGAAGCCATGGGAGACGACGGGAGGAGAGGTGGTGTCGGAACAAACGAAAAGGACGAGGTTGGAAAAAATGCCGTTGCTACACGCACGAAATGCAGTGTTTCGAAGTTTTGAACATCTATCTGTCGGTGGCATTGCTCGAAAACCGCTCGTCCAGGCCTTTCTCCAGGCTTCTCGTCCAGGCTCGTCCTCGCAACCATCTACTTGCAGTGTTACTGACAGGATCGCGTCTCCCGGCTATGGTCGTTGATGTTTTTGTTGACTACAAAGCTTCCAACAATGAGTTTTGTATGAGCGGGCTGGCTTGCGTTAGCGCAACGAGCTCATGAAATGATACCACTGACGGGACGCTCTTCTCCAATTGCTAGCAATCTAGGTAGCTAATTGGAGTAATCCGGCGATAAACATGTACAGCATGTAGCCAAATTGCCGGCAGATTCAGAGACAAATGATAGGCTACAGTCTAGAGTCCTGCCGTCATGCTAGGGAGTCGGACGCATTTGTCGATAAACGGAGCAATAGAAAATGTTTTTGCAGCCCTTTTAATAAAAGCAAGCTGAACTCAAAAGCCTGTAAAGAAAAAAAAATGAGTGGTTATGATGATCCATCTTTATTTGTCTCGCAAGCGTTTTTCAATTTTGGATTAGTTTTTCTTTCTTGTTTTGCTTCTTATTTAATTAACAATTTAAAGGTTTTCTTCTAATACAAATGACTTATGTGTACCGCAGACCTGTACAAAGGCTTGCTAGATTTGAACAAAGAGAAAAGGGTGGGATCCAAGGGGTTAAGTCTAATAAGCTAGCAGCATTTAAGAGCTACGGATTACAATTTGCTTGTCGATGAATTCCTTATTGACTAGTAAAACCATATAGGTCCTTTTAGGACCGTACCAAACGAAGTTGTCAGTAGTTCTTTTCAAAAAAAGACTGGAAGAGATGAGAGCCGTGTTGATAAAGCGAACATTCATTCAATCATTTTTTTTGGACAAAGTATGTCTAAATGTGCGGCAAATAATGCAATATAGAGAGGTCAGCTTAAATTGTATCTTTTTGGAGTATAGTAGAAACAACCAATGTTGAATTAACACTGTTTTATTTCGATGAAGATAAATGCGATATTTATGTCTATGAGCTTTAAAACGATCGTCTAGCTCCCACTTACGTTGATCACGTCCACTAGGCGGCCTGAGCTGGCACGCGCAATTATTATTCTTTGGAAAGCAAGTCGAGTTTGGCATAACTTGATAAAAGAGTATAACAGCCCTTTCCGATTATCGAATTCAGCAGGACACGAACGTTCTGCCTTGACAATGAGGAAAACTTAAAATGCAGAATAACTTATGCGGGAACCAGCTCTCTAGTCAGCTGCGGCCTCGAAAACAGGCGACAGACTATTGGTCGCGGAAAGCAAACATACCAATCTGCACAATCTAAAAGGCGTTTCGCATCGCTAGGTTTTAGGTTTTTTTTTCAAAATGATCTACAAAATCTCCAGTGCGGTATGCTCTGAAGCATGTCCGAAGTGTCGCTTAATAACTTGGATCTAATTCGTGAAGTTGACAAGTTCAATAAAACTTGTGAAGCAAGACAAAAAAACACATTATATTAGCAAAATATTCTATATGTGCAAATGCAAGCAAAAAGGTGCATAGCATTTCCGATTAAGAGACATGTCAAATGTAGCATTTAGTCGATCTATCTTAGTCTGATGTCTACAATGCCCTTAAGGCTAAGTTACATTTTTCACAGCTGTATAATATTGGAAGAAGTTAAACTTTTAATTGGTTACGCCCTATCATGCATACACGGAACGTTTCGAATCAACTTTCTGTCTATGCCTATCCAAAAAAGATTCCTTTTGCAGGAATAACATACCGCGACATCATCTGTTTGTGGTAAACGTAATTTCTGACGCAAGTTGACCGCAATTTAAACTGGAATTTTTGTCATCATATAAAATGTATGTCTTTAATTTTAATGCACGTCATAATGTTCCGCCAAAGTATTGATCGTCTTTGGCCAACATTCAAGCAAGTATTTTTTCCTTATCTCAAAATAAGGAATCGTTCTATCATAGTTTCTTTGGTGACACCATAATCCCACCTTTACGGTTTCAGAATAGAGTAACAGGTAATTTTTGCATCTTTCCGCTGAAACTAAATTGATATCATTAGGGAAATTCTCCAGGGACTGAATCGGATAACCGGCTGACAGTGCAAAGTCTGGGCTATACGGCGGATACGTTAAAATTTCCTTTTGAGGTTCTTCTTTTTGTCGGGTAGCTGAAGATTATGTGGTTTGGGATCCTGGTGGTGACAGAAGACGCCTTTGTTGTTCATTAGTTTTTTTTTCGCTGGCTTGTTGTTAGTTGTTTATGGTAGAGGAGTTAACTAATTGTTGTACTGAGCGACAGCAACTTGTAAGGATATGTTAAACGCATAGTGTCACCTTTTCGGGGTTTTGCCACGAATGGTGGAGCACATGTTTTTCGCTTGCACATTGTTCTCGTTTATGAGATACTTTTCATTACATTGGTCAACCATTTTAAAAATGGGTCAATTTTGTTGCGTTACTGTAGAGTTTCGCACAGAGGAATACGATTAAGTAAACCATCTGGAATTATTTGATGGCACGGATTGGCGATAGCATGGGTACTCAACTCTTGCAATAACCTCATCATTTTTTTGTAATTTATGGATACTTTCGAGAAGTATCCTTCACATCGAAATGTCCACTTTTGGGCCGCTTTCCTCGCTAACGCATCTTGACAATAACCGGCATGAATTTTTTTTACAAATCTAGGCAGCATTTGTGCCTTTATCGTAATACTGTCATGGTTTTTTTTTGTATAATTTTTATACATTTTATATAATATAATATCATCTTCAAACTGCTCTATCTTAAGTCTAAATAAAGACATTTAAACAATATGTACCTATCGGTGCAGAATCTCAACTTTTAAATGCCAGTTCTCCGTAACCCATACTACCTGAGACCTGTGATTTTTAAGCCGTCTAATCAGAAAAGAGATCAATACTTTTTCGATAGCCCAATATTAATAATAGCGTTTAATATTGTTCATTGATAATAGAATTGCGTCTTTGCAAAAGATGCAAGGATCTGTGGCGTGATAACGTAAGAACGCATCTATGTTAGATAAATGTGCCTTAATTTTGAAGGAAAAGAAAGAGGTTGAACAAACCGGGACACAACAATGTATTCTAATGTAAATTAAACGACAGTGTGGGTTAAAGAAAAGGACGACATCCTATACTTTTTTTTGACAGAGTACCCGAAAGTATGGCTACAAATTGCTATGAAAACATAAATTGTATCAAGTTATTTAAGAATACCAAGTACCATTTCTATCGTGACCCGATTTAAATAATAAAACTAATTATAGCAACGCACCTCTAAATGTTTGTACAATGTGTTTGCTAATGGCCGGAAGTACAACAGATACAAAAAAAAACAGCAACAGATCTCAAAACATGCTTTCGCCTCAAAAAACAATTAGTATCTGAGGCAAAAACTTCAGAATCGTCAGAATTTGTTTTTCGCACTCCTTTAGAAAATCATCAGGCCCTCTCAATCTAATCACTATGTCGTTCATTCCGCTTGAAGAGTGAAGAGTAAACACGGAAGTTCATAGCTTCATTAAGAGGTCATCCGGCTCGAAGACGATAACGACGAAGAAGGAGCTCCCCACACCCGTCACGACGAGTTGATGTTTTTGGCCTAAAAATATTTAGCTTTCTTCCGGCACCAAAGGTAGCGGTTCCAACACTCTACAATAAATGGCTTTAAAAGCCGAGCCCTTAATTATCTCGAATACCCTATGCAGTTATCCTCCACGTAAGGGGAGTACATACCTAGTATATGATACAAACTCTAGATTATCCTACCTTAGTTATATAGAATATATGGACAGAAAAACTAGCGACACCAGAGCATGCTTGAAGCTAGTTGATCTAAATAGGGTATTAGATGATTTATGTAAAGCAGGATAATTAAGTATTTAAGACATTGTCTTAAAGGTCACCGTAGCGGACGGTTATTGCATGGCTGCCACTGTGTTCATAAAACTGCTTGATAAATTTACAAGATCAACCGAAGAATTCTGCGTTTTTTTCTTGGTTAATCGTTCAAAGTAAATCGTATAAAATGCTTTATTTAAATCTCCGAAGAACGAAACATAGCTGCATCTCTTTTCAAGTCCCACGGTGGCATATATACAATGAATAAATTTATGCTACAGTTTTGCCGGTATGTCTTTTTATAAAGGTCACGATGAACTTGCCTTACGATTGTGACGATAACCTGATTTGATTTTGTTTCCGATCGCGGTTGAAATTTTACCTGAATAAAGGGCTTTTTGGTAACTGAATGTTGTAAGATTTAGGAAATGTTTGAACTGCTGAGCACTTGTCACTCTTTTATCAATAGAAACAAAGTGTTGGTTAATCTGATCCACTTTAGGATCCACTGAAACAAAATTGTTTTTTTGACATTCTCAAGTAATAGTTCACTGTTTCTGAAGCGTTGTCAGATTGGTCTCTCAGTAACTTTCGCTCTACCTTTTTTTTATTGGATTTAATACGTTTTCCTGTAACTTATGAAAAAAACACTTCGCTGCCTAATAGAATTTTGACCTCTATAACGTCTACCCTTCCGGCAAATGATCCTAACAATATTTTGGAGCCATCTTTTTTAACTAGGACTGAGTAGACCTGGGTATTTTTGATCCTGTAAACCCTCCTAGTAGTTTCACGTACACACCTTCTACTCAAAAGAGACATTTTTACAAAAAAAGATCATATCGGGTTATTTCAACATGATCCTTTAATGGATGCGCGCCGTGCGTATCTTCAACAAATATTTTATCAAAGAACATTTTATTTCAGTTGTTCCATAGTTTTTTCACGGCTAATAAGCACAAAGGTATGAACTTTGAACGATTTCATACCTTCTCTTATTATGTTTGCAAGACAAATAAGCCTGTATCTTAGTTCATTAACCCGTCTCTTCGATACAAGGCATCCCGTTTGAAGGGTCACGTCTACCAGTTCCGCTCTCCGACACATAGCTCTGATGAGACAGAAAGAAAAAAACGCACCGGATATACTTAATACTATGATTAGATAGTATTGGTAATCACTATGTTACGATGACACTTTCTATTTACAAATTTATTGCCGTAGAAGTCTGTTTTATGAGTTCATTTGACTGTATGAAGGACAACAGCATAGAACCTATAGCATTTCGAATCGATCTGAGTGTCTGTCAATAGCTCTTTCACGAGTCCCTCCAATAACCGGTGTATAATTGGGTCAGAGCCGATGCTGGTTGAGAACCTAATATAACAGAGTAGAAATGTATTGTCTTTCCGATAGCGTTGCTTATTGGCAGGTAGAAGTTGATGTCAGGGAGGAACTTACCGGCGTAAAGGTATCAACGTAAGCAGCAGTCGAAGTAGCGTTCGGCTAAACATGGCACTGCTTCCTCTGGCGGTCGGTATGAAGATAGAGAATGAAGCAATTATTACTCAGTTATGGGCAGTTGTTAAAAGTATCCTACAACTAGGCCAGGCAAATTAGCGTATGCGGCGCGAGTCTACTAGCGAAACGCTAATTAAGATATTGTTTTGCCGTTTTAAGCTACACGTCAGCATGCATCAATGGTAGACACATTATGTAATATATCCTCGACGGAAAAGGACTTAAAGTTAAGCCCTTTTATGTATATATAATGTTTTAACAGAGTTCAATTGCACGATTAGATAACTGTGACTTCAGTATAAAAAGTGCTCTCTACTTCACTGTGAATGGAAAAGATTTCAGAGTGAACCGAAAGTAGCTTCAGAGGAATAAGCAACAGTGACTGTAATAATCGTAAATTAAGGACTACGATATGTCGTCTTGGACCTAACTATTGAATTCTCTGACAGTTACACGACGTTCCCACTTGGCTACTGTATAACACATAGAGACTGAAGAATATCAGATCGTACTATATCATATTAGGATTGCCATCCGCTATGTTGACGACTTCCTCTATCGGAGTCCTTTAGTTCAGTCGTGACAAAAAGCTAAGTTGTTTGAATAATACATCTGGCCGAATACAATGCGCCTACCTATGCTGCGAACTGAGCTGGCAGCCTGAAGAGCAATGAAGGTCCTTGATTTCAGTTTGCTTGGTTAAATTAGGCACAGCAAGTGAGAGGGCAGTTAGCCGTATATAGACCTGAACTGGGAACTACGAGATAAGCAGCAATGGAGAGACCCGAGTGACCAAACGTAAGTGTGCTTGATAAACAAACAGATTGTTTTATCTATAAGTAACTTTTATCCTTCGAGAAAGCACTGATCGTTCAACCGTGACTATTGAAAAGAGATGATGTGACAACTGCACCGAGAAGTCTACTTGAGGCGACCTATCGTCTTTATTTACGTAAAATGCGAATGGAGCTAAAGAAAAGGTACATATGAGACATGTGGGCGAACGACGCACTCTGGGATTAGACGGTCCGAATGAAATGGGTTGAGTGGAAGAGTACAACTAATCTGAAATAAAGCTATTAAGAGATAGTCGCTAATGTAAAAGATCTGCTGTTGGGGAATGACTCACAGGAACTGAGCAGGCTGTCGAAGATCGAAGTCTGCTGTTGTTGGAGCATGGGTGTCATCTTTTTCAAGTTACCGCCGATACCTCAGCCCTTCTCAATCTGGTGATTAACGAACGCTTCTACGTAGTTTATTATACATCGCTTTTTTAATCAAAGCATCCGTAAGTACTTAAATCAAACAAGCATCTAACGAAAAATTTTGTGTTAGTAAAGAGACTGGCAACATTTATTCTTTCGCAATGGCTGTGCATATATCTTTTTTGACACATTTCTAAACGACGCACGTTTTAACAAGTTCTGCTACACTTATTCGTCTCTCTTTTTTGAAATATACGCTCAGAAAGGAAAGGATCGCCTTCAGAATGACTTATAAAACTTTAGACGTTAACTTGAAGGCTTATTTGTATACAAAAGTTTCTATAGAGAGTAATTAAGAGTGATAAGTTCTTTTTAGAACTTAAATGCATGGTAAATGAACTAATTAGCCGTGGGAATTCTTAGGGAAATTATTCATCTTGTATAGATAACAGATACAGTATCCAAAATGTAAAGTGAATTTATGATTCGAAATTATGTGTGCATTAAACTTGGTGGGCATCGGTAGCATAACTTCATTCAGTTCTGAGAACAGCCAATATAGTTTTAATTCGACGACCCCTGAAAAAGATTACTAAAAACTAAAAATAATGTATATATATATATATATATATATATATGTATATAATAATAAAAATAATAGGATATAACTATACGTTTGGATAAATGTGTCAAAAATATGTGACGTAAGAGACGATATTGCGTGACATATATATATATAGGAGAAACAGCGACAAAAACCTAGAGGAGTAGGATGAGTGAACTATCAGAAAAATAGATAATAGTTTACTGCTGAACAGAATTTGGACAGTGAGATGAGAACCTTAGCTCTCGCCTTCATATGGAGATCGACAAGAAAAAACCCACAGATAGTCCTAACAAAATACTAACCGCGATAGAACTGAAGTATTGGTTGAAAAATGGTTTTTGTGAGTTGACTCAGTTTACTCACCTCAGCGTTATCGACGTCGTAGACGGATTTTTGGGAGGTTCTTTCTTTGGGATGTCTGAACGTCGTTTTTAACGGTGTTCACATGTTGTTCTATGTAAATCTGTGATAACACTAAGGACATAAATAAAACAGAAAATCTGCAGAGTCAAACTAAATATAAAATATGATAGAGCTGCGTTTATCTACACACAAGCTTAAGAGTTAAACTTAATCCAACCAAGGACTCAGAGGAAAAATTCAACAAAATATTTACATAACTAGGAAATGAATATGTTTTTCCTAGCACTATTTTTCAATGTAAGATTCACTCTAGGTGACTAGCAATAATAATAGAAATTCAATTAAGGGTTTTTGCCACATTTACAAATTCGGACAAACGTTTGGACGCTCACAGTTCACGGTTAGATTATCATACACACCACAGAAAGCTATTTCAAAGGTAAAAAAGGAGTTAATTTTTAGATTTTTGTATTATAGAAAAATGATTCGCAGAGATATCTAGTACGTAAATTGAAGTTAAGCAAATTTTTCTAGCATTTTAGAAAATAATAGACAAGAAGAGTCAGTTGTATCTCTTCTTTTTTGTTACCGCAACTAGGTGAAATTTAGATGGGGGTTTGTCTGACGATAGTGAAAGGTAGTAAACATGCAATGAAAAAGGCATTAGTACCCGCTCTAATCTGACATACCCGTTTAAGCTATATACCTCAAATGGATCAGATTAGATAAATAATAAAATAAAAATCTTACTCGTAATATTCAAGAGGTCCAGTGTTCGTTCTCGACTCAAGATATCACCACCAGAATCCTCAAATGAGCTTAGTATCCACTCTGAAATTGTTAGTTCCAATACTTACTTCCTTTAACATTTATACTGATGTTTGGGTAGAGGTGACATCGATTGGCAGATCGAAGTTCAGATAGTTCTAGGAAGTATGAAAGTTGGATGGGTATGCGGAGCTGCTAATGTTCCGAACAGAATTCCGAAAATGCCACAATCACACTCTCTTGCCCTGTAGCCGGTATAGCTAACTATCGATTGACAGTGGCTCTTTTTTACTAGACTGGAAGCCACGAAGGTTGTTAATCTAGTTAAGAGTGAAGAAGCATACTAACAACCATCTACAATCTCTAGTAAAATATTTGCCCGATGTTTTCAGAACGCTAGAGATTAGCAGATTTCGTAAATATCCTGAAAATGCTAAGTTTTTCTCATTTAGTTACCTGTTTTTTCAACTCGGTTTTCGGAGGTATCGATTGACTAAGCTGGCATTAGTATCCTATAGGCAGGGGGTCACCTACGCCATTGAAAATAAGCAGATCTGTTTTCTGATGCTTCTGGATGTGATGGCTGCCCTTAACTGCGTAAGTCACTCGATCTTCCTGAAAATATTCGATTGACTGGCAGCATACTTCTTTGCAAAACAACAGGTTACGTGTTTAGTCCGCGTGCGAGGAGTAAGATACTGGGACACCTTAAAAGTAGGTTCTCGGTCAAAGGTAACGCTCATCGTCTTTGTTGAGTTTCAACCTGTTTCAAATCTGGAGTACACCTTTACGCTTATCCGCTTTCAGCCTACTAGCGATATCGGCGACTAGCGAGCTGCTCTTGAGCATACGGAAGAGACCATTAAAATTTTAGACCATTTAGTCCGGTTGTTAATGCCGATAAGGCGGGACTCGTACGGTTCGATTCGCCCCGAAGAGTCATCGATATATGGCGCATTTTACGTGTTGTCTTTGTTGCTCCACATTACTAAATACTTGATGATACGTCTCTAAACAGCTATCAAATGTAAGACTAACTCAACAGCTCAGGCGTCTGGCTGCTATGCTATTATCGCGGCACTGAAGGAACCCTTGTTTATTAGGACCTTCTACTGCCACATGCTGTCCTATTCACTTTCCATCTAAGAAGGTGACTATTTAGAAATATCTTGTAGGGTTCAAATTCTTAGAACACTGTTCTAAAAGCAATGTTTGGCTAAATCCGCAGACCTTTTCAGTTTGCACAGACTACTCTATGCAGGTAACATATACAGCACTGCTTTGAAAATGTCAAAAGGTATTATTCCATCAGAAATTCTAACTAATTGCTTTAGCGATAACGATGTTCAAAGTGTTCGTTATTGCTAACGAATATTGTTAACATGCTTTTGTTTGCTGCTTATCGTCAGTCTCAGATTTTGCTCTTTGTTGTAAGACGCGGTAAAAAAAAATGTAAACGAGAAATCCTGAAACATGTAAATAAAATATAAACTGAAAAATTATGCGAGAAGGGACGTGACTATTTTTATTTATTACAATATAATAACATAACAATTATTGTGCAAAACGCTATGCAGTATGGCACTTTTTTACATTTACTTTTTACGCTAATTTCATTGAGAGGCAGACTACACTTGTTGCAATTGTTATTACCTATAGCGGTGTCAGGTTCTGGTTTTTGTGGTCAGAAGAGCCTAGCAGGGAAAGACTAGTGCCCGCAGAAGGAGGCTTGACGGTTAGGTGCAAATGGCAACCTCCTAAAGGACCGTAACGATGAGAACTGGCCGTTACGGTGGTGGCCGGTTGGGCACCGTAGTAAGGACCATTAGATTGTTAGCTCACCAAATTGCAAAGCGCACAACTACACAGAAGAAGAATAAATAAATAGCGGTTAGTTTCGGCGCGAGGGATACAAAAAGCTTTAGCCGCTAGCTGATGTGCTGTCAGCCTCTAACTAACGATCTTATCTTTTTCTATACGTATTTCGACACACCGTTTATTTGACATTTACATAACACTTGGTCATGTATTACATAATATATTGGTTCCAATATGACGGAATTTTCGGGTTCAATGCCGATTTGTTACATACTTTACAACGATATCGACGAACAAATCTGTGATATAACGAAAGGAACTCAGATACAGCTGTTGCCTATCTAAGCACGGTCGTCATAGCAGCATGTACTACTGATTTACAATAACAAGACAAAATTAGTTATCAATGAAGTTAGATTGCCCTAATACGAACTTTTCAGTTGTTGTTATATATATATATATATAGATTGGAATTACTTCATTTTGCTTAAGTTTTGGTGTTACAAATAAATGATCGACAATGGAACGTATGGCCACGGCCCGAGGATTACAGAACAATAGAAAATAGAGATATTTTAGTATCGTCCTACCCTCAACTGTATGTACCGATAAAATTACGTGAATATTTTCGCAGTCAAAATTGTAGGCGATTAATAGGCTTAGCCATATGGGGCTGTTCCACGTGTATGACACGGCCAGCAATGTTTTGGATAGACTGATGAAATGAAACTTCTCAAAGATGGCCTCGAGGCTTCGAACGTACGCGGTATAACGCAGCTGACTGTGAGGAACAACTGCCTTGTAATGCACAACATGAGAAAATCCCAGGCGGCCCCGTCGATCCAACAATAACGGCGTTTGTCCGATAGATGCCATATTGAAAGCACTGTACAGCGGGCGCAACATTTCTATACAGCCTAAAGGGAGATAGGATGGAGGACGAGCGTGAAAAAGACGAGAGCGAGTGGGGAATTCAATAATGATAGGACATATGATAGATGCATGTTACTTGCTAGATTCTATGTCCCTATAAAATCGTTTCACGCAAAAGAAACGGGAAAAGTGCAAAACAGAAGCGCGCGGCGAGAGCGAACGACGAAGCAGGCCCTGCTGGCTACGGATAGCGGAGTTCGGTTATAAAGGACTGTCTTGTTGGCCATACAACAGCGATAAATAGAATCCGAGGAGAGTATGACGGCACGATGACTGAAGGCAATGTAGTAGCACTATAATCCGGTCATCTGGCCAGGTTCGGCCGCCGGAGACGGAATAGCCACCAATCAGGCAATTGCTTCATTCGACGCTTTCCTTCGCCTTTTTGCCGTGGTTCACGTACCGTATTACTTTGTAGTAGAAGTGGCCTCCGCCGCCTATTAGGGGCTAGCAGTAGTTGCTGGTCATGCACAACTCGAGTTGTCGGACAGAACGGACGGCATGCCTTCGTTGTACAGCCGCTGCTATAGTAGAGGTGACGGCAAAGCTAGATGCAGAACTAGCCATCGACCTGCGCTACGGTTGAAGGCTTTCCTTTCTTAAGCAACTACGAAGTTGCAACAGAAACAGTATTAGGCTGCTTGCACCATACCTCTATCACAAACCGGCCTGGCTAACCGATAGGCAACTTCAGCACCTGATCCGTTTGTTCTCTTCGCTCCGCTCAGTAGACGGCTAAACAGGTTGCTTGTTTTGCTAGTAGAGCTTTCTGTAAATACGCACAAACGACGAATTCAAGCTATTTCGTATTTCTTCGCTACTCTTACCGGTTGTTGTGCTGTTGCTTGTTCCGAATACTTGTAACGTTGCTTGAGCTGGCTACCGTTGCTCAGCCGGTGGCCGTTTTCTATCTTCCAGCCAGTCAGGACATTCGCGAGCGTGTATTCCTCTGAGTATCCACCAACTCACTATTCCATGCAGGGAAAAGGAAAATGAAAGAGGTGCCCGGTTGTGAAAAGCCACTAGACTTGTGAAGAGCAAAAGAAAAGCACCATCAAAAACTGACTGGCGCCAAATTTCTCCCCATGGTCCATTATCCACTAAGAGATCTTATCCGGTGTCCCCCACAAACTACAACATCCTTTCGAGTCTTGCGGCCACATAGGCATGCTTTTTTTTCCGACTCTATATTCTCCGTTGCCCCTAAAAACGGAGCTTTCCGAAAGCATTCCATATACTCGTTATCTCCTTTGGCATTTTCTGTCTGTGGCCTCTTCGATGTTTCTGTCCGGGCTCGCCTTGCACTCTGCTCTACTTTAGCTCCCTTCTCTTCCCCCGTATTCCCTTTAGCTATTTTCTTTCATCCAGGTTTTGTCTTGGGGCACGCTTGCCAACCACCTCTCTCTCTATATCGAGACAGCTAGTCGTTCGTTCACATGATTCTGTCTCCAATGCAAGCTTGTTTAGCTATTCTTTCGATATATCCCTACTCTTTTGTCTTTCTGGCGACATTGCTGCTATTTTCGTTGTTTGAATATGTAGGCGAAGACCGAAGATCCGTATATCCTACGTGACTCTTTCTGCAGTCAAAGCCGCTTGTACTTTAATGTATTAGCTGGTATCAGCAATGCGAAGGCGTAACTTAGATGAAACAGGAAGCTCGCAAAATGTACGCGTGCGCTTTGTAGCGGTGTACCATAAAACCACTTACAAGCTTTGTTTTTCTGCTATCTGAGATCCGGAATACGACATAAATAAGGGGTGTAAAGTAATAGAAATTCTATTACCGGTATTTTCTTTATGGAACGACAGGTTTTGTTTGTGTACTAAAAGTGGAGATTGGGACTGCCACTTCAGGTCCATTTTCTTACTGCTGTTACTAGTGCCAACCGCTAATGGAGATGATATTAAACACCTCACAGAAGAGCTGAGTACCTCTCATGTGATGCACTGTGATACGTGGTGATTGATTCTGCTGGACGCAACAAACGACCCGCTACGTATTCGCCCCTCCTAGTTTATTCTTCACATCCCTTTCATTGTCTCAGTACGCGCTGTTTATCCTCCCTTACCTAGTATTCAAATAAGGGATACGGCAATCACGAGTATTGGACGGCAGGACAGTTTGCTCTACCATTATCACCTTCGTAACCGCAACACAGCAAGCGAACAAACGATACGGAAGCCGAGCGAGTCCCCTGGTAATATGGCCCTGCACTGTTCTCCTGTTAGTAGTCTTGTATTAGTAGCAGTTGTAGTAATACGGTAACACGAGCTTATATCCTCCAATGTAATTGGTAAGACCGTTCTGTCGTCGCTTTCTTTGTTGTCCTTCGGGACCATTTCCAAAAATAAGCGGCCGGACAAGCGCGTGTAACGTGTCATGGACATCTCGAAGGAACTGTAGTAGTCGGCCAATCGTTCACTGCTGTAGCTTTTATCGATATCTGTTCATGCTGTTGGCCAGTGAGAAATACGGAGTGAACGAATCCAGCCAAACCCAGCTGAGACTGACCAAGCTAAGCTGTCGCATATTAGGGATAAACGAAAATAAACCGTACCGAAACTGGGACTGTGGCTAGAGACTTTACTGCATTGTTGCTAGCCCAATCAGCGCAGGACGAGCCGGACTTACATGGCAAACACCTGTTGGAAGCGATGGGCTGAGACGAACAACGTTAAAAACTGCAGCAGGTGGGAACATGCCTGGGTGGATGTGGCATATGTGTGTTAGGCAAAAAGGAGAATCCACTGATTCCCTTGGTGTGTTTCGGCGCAATCACGCATGCAAAAGGGAATGCGTTTGCGTTAATCAACGAATTACTGTAGAGTGTCAGAGCTCTAGTTTGTATTCATAGTACTTAACTCAAGGCGAAATACTTGCAGAAAGTTCAAGAAAAACCTACACGTATCTTCAATGCACTGTTGATTAGTATGGTATCGTAATTAATGAAACCCAATCGTGTTGGGTCGGTTTTTAGGATAAGGGAAAAAAATACGCTATAGGGCAAACTGTTAAGATGTTCCAGTTTAAGCATCTTCAAATGCAGAGTAAACAATTTTTTTGTTTGATTTCCGATTTGCGGAACGACACCGGTATAACCACTTGGAAATGTTTTCCAGATCAAGTTTAATAGAGAAAATTAGAGACAGCTAAGTAAGTTAGAGAAGCCGTGATTACACAAAACGCAACATACAGAATTTAAATAGACGTCAGAAAAAAAATCCTTAGTAAAAGCGCGTACTTGGTGCTTTGCCAAAACAGTGAAAAGGTAATGCCTGCCTAAGTGAGTTATCAAGTTAACCTCACATAAAACTAACCTCAACATCTTTCAGTCGTAAATAATACGTCACGCACGCTGGTTACCTGACAGTAAGACATGGTAGAAAATGACGCGAAAGTTTCCATACGATATATGTTAGCCGAATGTACTTAGTTAATGAACAATTTAGTAACTGTATTAGGCGGCTATCGAACGTATTATAC